CCCATGGCAGATGCTGAGATCCAGATTCTCAGCTCCCAGGATTAGTTTCCAGCTTGTTCAGAGCTCTTTCCAGAGCCACAGGCAACAACAGGAACAGGGATATAAGCTTGGATCATTTAACCTACATATTCCAGGCATGAAACCTGTGGAGACTGTTTATATCTCTGTAATTACTTTCATACAGGTTGTTAAAATCAGATTCATTAGCTTAGGTTACAATGACCTATACAACATGCTTACAACCCATTTATCCTATTAAAGGGATTTAAAACTCTCCTCCTTTCATGAGATGTCAGTGATTCTTGATTTATGGTTCGGTCATGCTTTAAAAGTAAAAGCAATTACCTCTCTTGCTATGGTAAAAGCCCACTGCCTCAAGGTCGCCAGAATTCATCTATAATTGAGTAGCAGCAGCTCTGATGTTCAGCCTGACTGACAAAAGCATTGGCTACAGAAATCCTGCCACAAAGGTGTCTGCATCCCCTGCAGCAGCTGACAGATTCTGTCAGGAGCAATTGCAGCCCAGGTTGCATTTGTGCAGAGTGTTTCCTGCAGTGGCAATTATTTCCATTTATGTATCCTCAGATTTTTGGGAGGAGGAAAAAAAAGTAAAAATTCCACACCCCATTTCCACACAAGTGCCAAGATTTTTTTGTTTGAACGCTTTTCCTTTGAAGCCTGCATGAATCGGATTTCAAATTAATTTCTCTGAGAGTTCCTAGAAATGTGGTGACTCTCTGATGCACAATGCCCTCAGGAGTTGCATCATTTTAGGAATCCAGTTGACTTTCAAAACAGAGAACAAACAGGATAAAACAGACAACACTGTGACCCAGAAAATATTCCAGAATCAGTCTCTTTAGGAAAAATATCCAAATTCACACATTTGTCCTAAACATGCTGCAAATATGATTGGTGCCCAGATGGGTGCTGGTGGCTACATGTGGACTCTTGGCTTCAAGCAAATGAAATGTGACCCATTTTGGTTGCACCTCTGCAATGCTGTGCCCAGGAGAGTAAATTTACAGCAAAACCAGAGTGCTTTGACATCACTGAGACCTGAAAGCCCCCTGGAAGCATCCTCTTGAAACAGAGAATGCATACAAAAATTCTAAGCACATTTCATAGGTAGCTATAAACAAAAAAACCCTCACACACACCAGAGGAACATGGAAATGTTTTCCTCTTGTCTGAAGATAGCAGGGACTCAAACTGGCAAAATCTGAAATACTTTCATTTAGAAATAACTACATTTCTGTTCATGCTCATTAAATTAGACAAAGCAACTATTACCTTTCTCTCCATTGCTGGTTTTGGCCCCTCCTAGTGAAAAATGGGTCTGACCAAGTTCACACAGAGCTTGAAAGTAATTTTAGGATTAATCCTTGTCCCTGCATGAGTCCATGGCCCCCAGTGACCTGGAGCTCCCCATTCTCCAACACCACCTCTTCTACCCAACCCAAATCCCCTCTCAGAGCTCTCATTTGAGCACACTTTAAACTTCCTCAGCCCCAGCCACGTGGGCACTCTTACATATTAACACTCCTTGAAATGCAGGGCTGGTCCTTTGGCAAGTGGGCACCAAAACATCCCCACCACAGCCAGTCAGTGACGCAACCACAAAATTCACAATATTTCACTCATCTTCCCCAGCCTGCAGTGAGGCATCAGGCAGGGCTGTCTGCAGGGGCCCCACAAAGAGGGGAAATGGAACCAGAATAAAAGAATTTATAAAAACAATTGCTTTGTAACTCACCTTGTGTGTCCCCAGAGTTGCATATCCTCAAACCAGCTCCTCTCAGGAGGGAAGGGACGAATGCAGGACCCCAGGACTCCAGCCAGGGAATTCCTTTGTCAAAAGCATCCAACAGCATTTACTTCTTGCTCACAAACTTCATTCCAGAGGCTGAATCAGAGGGGTGTGTATAAAACCTGCTCTTTAATCATGATTTCCATACTTTATAACCCCTTTTTACTCTGTACACATGTGTTTGTAATATAGTCACACTTGATTTCTGTGGGGCATTATGTGATGTTTTAGTCTATTATTCATCATCCTTTCTTAGGGCCACTGCCAATTTCTTCAGTTTCTCAGATGCTTCTCCTCACACCATGTGTATTTTTTAAAAAATCGTATCTTTGAAAGAAGCCCAAAATAGGCCTCTTTTTCTTTAAAAAAATCTTATCTTTGAATAGACCCAAATCACAAGAATTCATTTGGAGTTTTTAATACAACAGTTTCCACTGCTAAAACTCAACATCCTCTCTTCCTACTGCCCAAATATTTTGTATCAGATCAGCCTTTATGGCAAGCAAAGCACCATCACACCCAGACATTTGTCCTTGACACCATGAGCCAGTGTCAGCACCAACATCCACATGGGCTTGCTGGCCACAAACACCCACAATTTATTCTGCAGTTCTGCCACTCTCACAGTTGGGATTATTTGCAATGCAAGCCATTAGCAAAAGAAATTTACTTCTAATACTACAGCCCATTAAATGACACATAATTCAATAATGTGTTACAACAGAATTATCTTTAAAACACAAAGCAAGATCCCTGTAGGAACAAAACAATAGCAATCTTTGATATTGCAATTATTAGAGACCTGCTAAAATATCTTTGTAGTTAGGTGAAGAAACATAAAATGACTATTTAGAACAGAAATTTCCTGGGAAATAAAAGTTTAAAAAATTAAAATGAAGTCAAAACTTCCAAGCAAATGGCTAATTTAATATGTCTGCAACGTGCAAGATAATATTCCTATTAGGAAAGCCAATGGGAGAAAAAAAAATTACATTTTATAACCAGAGCCAAATAACAAAACAACAATTAAAGATTGTTATGGAGATTGCTAGGCAAAGGAGCTGAGTGACTGCTAAGACAAATTTCAGTTGTATAGTGTGCCCAAGGGCAAAATTCCAGCCCTCAGAATTTACACCCAAATTGGGTGTGAAGGGAAAAACAGCCACCTGCATCCACGATGGAGATGGAGATGGGCGCCCTGGCAGCAACTCCCTCAGCCTGGGGCAGCCAAACCTCCCAGGCTGGCACCAGCACAGCCCCAGCTCCCCACTCCCCTCTCCCTCTGCTCAGAGCTGCCTTTGGGCCAGCTGGGATCACAGCCTGCCCCAAACAAACAGCCATCAGCTGCCATTTGTCCCCTTCCCTGGAAAAGCTCCCACCCTTCCCCTCAGTGCTCTCCTGATGAGGGAACAAGGCAGGGGATGGAGCACTGAGCCCCAAAAACACAAAAGGTGAGATGAGACAGAGAGGCACAACCATCTGGTTACTAAATATTATATTGTTTTATTACACAGTTTTGTTGACATGTAAAAAAATGAGGGAAATAGATAAAGGGTGAAACTGGGAGGGAGAGAGAGAGAGAGAGAGAGAGAAATAATCTCAGATTTCCTGAGTTGAAAACATTGAGTATACTTCCTCCAAGGAAAGCAAAACTCTGCAAGCAGGGCACTGATACAAACCAGGTGATAAACCTCAGTAGCAAAAGCAGCTATTGAGACAGAGAGGACAGGACAGGAGGGTTCCCCCACTGGGAAATCCCTCACAGGTTCAAATGATGGCCCCAGCCCTCTGAGCATCCTCTGTGCACCTACAGGAGCTGGCACTGATGCGACAGACCCAGGACAGTGATGGAATAAATGCCATAATTGCAAATTAAACAGGGATTTTGTCCAGTTGGGTGCAAGAGCACATCACACAATTAGGGTTATGACAGAAATTGCTCATGAAGGAAAGGAAAAAAGTGTGCCTACATTTAAAGCTCAGAGTGTGATCACTTTCAGTTCTTCATCACTGGAAAGGAAATGCATCTTGTCAAAGGCAGGATACATGGCCAAACCATGGGAGTCAGGGGGAATGAGGATTTCTTTCAAATAACACAGCCTTTCAAAGCCCAAGGATGTGACAGACAATGCAAAAAGGGAATAAGGCAGGAAAAACACAGGTGAGTTGCCCAACCACTTGCCATGGGTGAGTGGAGGGAGGGCACCTGGTGCTCCTGGGATGAAATTAGGGAAGGGGAAGGACCCCAGTCTATCAGAAGTTGGGCACAAGACTGCAGCAAAGCCACATGAAGATTGACTGATCTTATACAAGTGAGCACAAACTCCCCCCAAAGCAGAGGGAGACACAAGAAGTGGGCAAAACCATGAATTTTTGTAAACCCAGACTTGAGTAAGGAATTGTAGAAAAAGCAGAAGTGACATCAGAGTTTACTCACAATTAGATAAGCACAGGCATATACAGGCAATGCACAGAATGACCAGACAGATCAAAATAGCAGCTGATACACCCACCATGACTATTTTTAGTACTGTAGGAAGGAAATTGTTTCTCTCTTCATAAAGATCTTGATCTGTCTGCATTCATTCCCCCCCAACCAATTTATGTTGCTTATTCTAGCAAAGAGAACACATTACAAACTTTAAAACTATACACTATGCATTGAAACTGAATATATACATTACAAAACTTGGGGGAAAGGACAATCATTTCTCAGGTTCAACAGCAACAGAATGAAAACACCAGACCCCAAACACATTAGGCTGAAGCTGTAGAGAAAAAGACTTGCATTACACAGTTCTAAGTCTCTTCAATAACAGGAATATATTTAACTTTTTACAAGATTTAAGGCTGGTGACTCTCCAGAGGTTTTTGTTTTGCTTTAACAAAACATGTTCTGCATCTCTGCATGTCAGTGATGCCCTTAGATGCAGACAGGAACTATATAATATCATGAGGTAATACAGAGACACAGAAGGCAGGATACAATGACAAGAAAACAATGAAATTCCTCAAAAAATGCCCCATCTGGGAATAGCTTTCTATTTATGCTTATCCACTGCTTTTCCCAAACATGACTCTTAACACAAAGGTTTAATGTTAATGCAATTAACAAAGCACAATAAGCAGCAGTGTCTGTCCAGAGCTCTTCCCAGCTCCCTCATCCAGTGAGATAAACACCATGGACACCTCAGAGGTTCTTGCCTTCATCTCCTGATGTCCTCAGCTGCCTTGGGACAGAGCCAGCACTCAGCACCTTGCTGATGAAGAAGTCGTAGAACCAGAGGGGGAAGCAGCAGAAGATGCAGAGGGGGGCGTAGGCTCCCTTGCCAGGGGTGTAGAGGCCCTGGGGTCTCCTGGCCAGCAGAGCATGCAGGACAGAGCCCAGCACTGGGGACAGGTCGGGGGCACAGTGGGAGGGCAGGTGGAGCAGGTAATTCCTCAGCCCCAGGAGATATTCCTCGCCATAGGCCTGCCTGGTGTCTGCAGGGAGGTTCTCCATCAGCTCCTTCTCCTGCCTGTCCCACTGCTCTGCTGTGCCTTCAATACCTGCAGGAGCAACAGCACAGCACAGCAAGTGGGTTTGGGGCTGGATTTAAAGAAATGGATCTGTAATTCATGGGCAGAGTTGATCTAAACTTTCAATTAACCTTCCTCTATATTTCCTAATATCAAAAATAATAACCAACTGTCATCATCACTCCATAACCACCCCCAAAAAAAACACAGAATTAACCCCAGAACTTTCCCTCCCCCAAAAAAACCAAACAAAAATACAAACCATAATCATAAACCATCAACCATCCACCCACCAAATTTTACGTTCTTGTAGCTTATAAAAAGCATGACACTGAAGATGTCAAGATGGGGCAGTGAAGAACAAACACCACAGCTGGTCAGCAGCCAGTGCTTTCAGCTGGAAGAGGAGGAAAAGCACGAGTGCTTTGTGCTACACAAAAAGCACAAAGTTCATGCCCCATTTGGCTCCCTGCTCTACCTAAAAATGCTCTCTCACAGCCAAATCAGCATTTTTTTCTTTCCCCCTCCTCCCCATTTTGCCATTCTGTCCCAATTCATTTTGTGGAGGTTTCCAATCAGTATTTATTATAAACAACTGAGGACAGGCAAACTAAGATGAGCAGGATTCACTTGGGTTGGCCAAGTGCTAAGCTGCCCTTTCACAGGAGACATTAGTATTTCAATAACCAGTTTCCTGAAGGATTAGCATTCTATTAGGACAGATTTAGAACTGAAATTTAATCTATTTGTCCACCCCATCTGCATAATGTAGGAATGAAAGCAGGGGCTTCTCCAATGGAATTATTGCCTAACTACCAAAAATTAAGCATTACAAGAAAGAAAAATCCTTTTAAAAACATTTAAATCTCAAATCCCAGGACTCAATTTTACCCATAAACCTGAGAACAGCTAAGCAGGGCCCTGAAGGTGAAGCCTCAGGCAAGTTCCACTGACCACACAAAGCTGTCAGAGCCCAGAGCCCCTTCCCAGGAGGGGAAGCATTCAGGGAAGTAGCATTTTATGGAAAAGACCAACTTGATTTACACTGACATAAAAAATTCTCTGGGCAGGCATGTGCAGCAGGAGATGAGTCTGGAACCTGGACAGGCTCAGTTGAAGGAGGAGGAGAATTTGGAACGGAAAGCAGCAGGAGCACAGGGGGAAGGAGTAGATAGGAAAGACCAGAGGATACTGACAGCAAGCAAGCAGGGTGACAGGTATAGCTGCAGGTACTGCCATGCCAGAGCAGCCCAATAAAGAGAGCTCTGATATTGAGGAGGGGAGGAGAGATGGGGGACCTGAAGCTCCCAAGCAGGACAAGGGAGCCACAGCACTCAAACTGGGCACACAGTGCTGCTCCATTCATCAGCTCCATCAAAGCTGGGGCAAAGGGAAGGCACCAACTGCCTGAATGCTGCCCTGCCTCAAAGCAAAGACAGCTCTGCCCAGGAGAGGGCAGGCAGGCTGTGTGAGGAGCTGGAGGGAACATCTTCCACAAAAAAACATTGAGCTTATTTCCATAACCCACATAAATAATGGGGGGAAAGATCCAACCCCTGAGAATCACACAGGGCTCTGTTTGAGGCTGCTGAGCTACAGGGAAAGAGGAGAGGCAGAAAGAACAACCCGAAATGCCAAGCACCAACCTGTTCTGAAGCCTGATGGATGAATTGCCATGACTTTAATGCCCCATTTGGAAAGCTCTTGCCTCATTACTCCAGAAAACATGGACAGAGCTGCTTTGGATGCCCCGTACGCTGCGTACCTCGGTAGTGGAATGCCTCCTGCAGGAGCAATAGAAACTGATAAACCTCAACAGTGGCTCTTCCCAGCCTTTATTTCCATGATTTAGAAGGGAGATTATAGCACAACCAAAGTTATGCCTCTCTCCCTGTGGTTAAAGACAAGGCAGTGAGGGAATCACTTTGGCTAGAGGTTAAAAAAGAGTGAAAGTTGTAAATGAACAGTTGCTTACAGCAGTTATGCTCAGTAACACCTGGTAAGACACCTTGTAGGGCAGGAAAAATAAACTGGACTGCATTTAAGGGTAAAAACTGCTGAAAGTTATGACTGTTGATTTGAGAAACACAGAATGATTTAGTTCATATAAATAGTGAAGCAGTAGTTTTAGACTCCTGTTCTTGTCACTGTAACACAAATTTCAAGCCCCTACAATAAACCACAGTTAGAACCAGGTAAGTCATCTCAATTCTAGTGTTATCAAGCAAACTTTCTTTTCTGTTCTTTCCAGAAAGGCCAGAGAAATAATAAAGCAAGAGTGGGGAAAACCTAAAGCTGGAATCACATCCCATGAGTGACTGGACTCCCAGTTCCCAGCATAGAAGCAGATCCCCTGCCTATAGTTATATCCCATTTTTTCCAATCCCAGAAACATTTGTTCAGAGGGGAAAGCTAAGAGAACATCCAGTACATTTACAAAAGCAAGTTTCCAGAAAACAGTATCTTCCAAATGCAGAGATTTCCTCTGTCCCAAAAACTGGCAGGTTGTCACTTCTTCCATGCTAGAAAAATACAAACATGCTTTGGTTTATCTTCTTCAGCCCTCCCATTTCCCCCACAAGGTTGGTGTTATCACCACACAGGTTTAAGATCACCACAGCCACCACAAGTTGTGCTGGGAGGAAGGAACAGAATGGAGAATCCTTTCCTTGAGGCAGATCCCTCCTTCTCCTGCCTGCATGGGCACTTGGGCACATCCTGCCTCTGTTTCACATGCCACACACTCATCTCAATGTGCCTGAGTATTCAAAGGAAAATAGCTCAGATCCAGGGGATTTTCAGGTAAGCCACTGGTGCTACTGGGTACTGGGATGACCAAGGTATGACAGGAGCTGTTTACACAAAGCCATTCCCTTGAAGAAGTCAGGCCAATTAGATGTTAATTATTCTTCTGTATGCATCTGAACAAGCTGGATTGGTTGGAGCCAATTGAATCACTGACTTTTCCCTCTGAGGTCAGGCTAACCTGAGCCCAGTTAAATGAGCCCTACACAGACAGGAACAGATTCAGCACAATGAGACCTCACTAACTTCTCCACTAATGTTTTACCAAAGGACCCCCAGACCCTGAGCTAAGGGGAAACTCTTCACCCAAACCAGCCTGTGTGCAGCAACATCTCTGCAGACAGCTGAGTTTAAACAGGGTCATTTTCAGCTCCTGTAAGGCCAAACTACTCAGCACAGGGATAAATGCATTTATTCCTTCAAGGCAGTTCAGGGATTCTCACCAGGAATTGAGATATCTGCCCCAAAACACCCACAGTGAGAGCTTCACTTGGGTGCACAGAGGAAACTCTGGCCTCAGAGCAGCAGCAGAAAGGTTCTGACAATTCAGTCCTGATTTCTCAGTGTCAGCAATAAACCATGAGCACAGACATGCAGATACAGAGCATATCTGGGATTATAAAGATAAAACAGCTCCAGAGCCACATCCTCTGCATAAGGGGAACACAGGTAACACCTACACAAGTCACCCCAGCAATGCAGCAGCATGCAAGGGGACTCTGGCTATGCAGAAGGGCAAAGGAAAATGTGGGGAGCACATGATACAGCAAATCCCTAAGAGCTCTTACTCCAAAATACTTTCCAGCAGCATGACCTCCTGCCTCTAGCAGGTCTCATTTCCAAAGGAGCATTCTTGCCCCTCAGCTGTTGGCTACCAGATACTGCATTACTGTATTACATTAGTTCCTACATCTTAGCATCTCAGCTGTTCTCCTGGAATAGAAGGTCATGTTATAAAGACATATATACATATATATACATATATACATATACATATATATATATATAAATTTATGGGGAAAGACATGAAAAACATATGTTAAAATCCAAAACATTTTTAATTTTTTTTTTCATGGCAAAATACCACTTTGCTAATAAGTTAGGCCTAAGTATTTCTAAGACATCCAAAATATTTTTAGAGAAATATAGACACACAGCTCCCAAGTTATCAGCAGATATCACAACCTGAGGTGGTCACAGACTTCTGCCTGAACATGTTATAGAAATACCTGTGATGTACCACCCATCTTTATGTTAGCTCACAAGGTTATCTCCCATGCCATCTGGAACACATTATCTGAATTTTACTGCATTTTTTTTGTCACAGCATATTTTTAGCCACATTAAACGCTTGTTTAAAGGCTGCTTTCTGGGAGTAGTGTCCCAAACTAAAGAAAAACCTGGATTTATTACCTTAACATTTATTCCCTGGTTGCACTGACAGCCCAGACTGACAAACACCTTGGTTGGCATTTGCTCCAGGACTTTATTTGGTGCTTTAGCCCACTCACCTGCCATGCTGGACATGTTCACCAGCCTCCCCTGCGATTTCCTCAGCAATGGCAAGAAGGTCTTGGACACCTCCACAGCCCCAAAGAAGTTCACCTCCATGCAGTGCCTGTAGGTGCTCATGGGGAGCAGCTCCCCATCAGCAGGGAAGCCCAGGATTCCTGCGTTGTTCACGACACCCCAGAGCCCTGGGAAGAGGAGAAAGCACAAGGCTGCAACACACCAGGAAAAGGATCCATAAGGATTCACACCAGTGAGCTGGATGGTGACTCCAGGCCAAAACAGAGATCATCTGCAGAGCCACATTCCCCACTCCTTGGTCACTACCATCTTTCCATATCTCAGAAAACAGAAGTCATGGATGGAAATGCCCTGACTGCCCCAGACTTCACCCTGGAAATGCCCTACACACCTAAGCCGTGGCGCAGCCAACAGCAAAGACATGCACCCATTAGGCTGTTACACCATTGTAAAGGGAGGAAAAAAAGCTGTACCTGCATTCTGCACCTTCTCTGAGACTGTCAGGTAGGCCTCCTTGACCTGGGTGGTGTTGGTGATGTCCAGCTGCAGGACACAGAGCCTCTGGGAGCAGGAGCGCCGCAGCTCCGCAGCCCCAGGGCCATCCTTGTCCAAAACCCCAGCAAACACAATGAACCCCAGGCTGTCCAGGTGCTTAGCCAGGGCATGTCCAATCCCAGTGTCACTACCTGAAAACATCAAAAAAACTTGGAAAGTAGGTCTGTCCTACACTGTGGAGAGCCTGGTTCAAGCATGGCTTAAAGAAAGAGGCCATGAAGGTATTCAGCTAAGGGAAAAATAAAAGGCCACTGTAAAACAGCAGTTCCCAGGCTTGATTCTGTAAATAATTAAGGTTCTCAGCCACCTTTTATATAAACAACAAGATTCTCAGACTGTTTTCTCAAAAACAGGCAAATATTCTGTCCTTGGCTGCTCTGGGAACAGATGGCCGTTCTGGTAACAGATATAAAGGTTTAGAGAACTTTTCATATCATGGTGAGAACACTGATCTTGGTTTCAATAAACAAACCTCAGGTATTGTAAAACAAAAGGAGGAGTTGAAGTTTTCTCTACAGCCTATCGGGAGCTCAGATTTTGCAATATGCATGAAGTGAATTAACACTGTTATAAAAGGTGCCTGGTTTGATCAATAAATTGGAGTCGATGCTGATCAAGGAAGATGGGTCATCTCCCTTCACTTCAATACTACACCATCATTTAAAAAAATAAATAAATAAAATAAATACACACATTGGAAAGACATGCAAATATAAACAGAAATATGATGACAAAGTCCCTGAAATACATATATTAGTAGAAAGAAAGGTTCAGATTGAGGAGCTGGGCCTTTAAATGTTCCTCAAAGATTGACAGGCCATGTTCTCCTGACTCAGAGCTGGTGGAATCAGCTCACTCTCTGCCACTGACAGATTCTCTGACTTTATACATAGAGAAGAAATAAAGCCCTACTTTGGTTTTACACAAATATTCAGGCTAAACTCTGAAAACAAAAGTGTATAAGAGAAAAAAACAAACAGCAAAAAAACCCACCACAGTAATGATTTAATTTGAAATCTCCAATGGGCAAAGCAATTACGGGGCTCTCAGATTCAAATTCTTGGATTCTATTTCTACCTTCCAAAAAGTAGCATTATGTCATTTACACATCTACCACACAAGATCCCTCAGATAAGCACTACTTATTACAGACTGTAACCAAGCCAAAACTAAGCAACTGTAGCTTTACCTGCAAAGCATTCCAATGCTTTCAGAACATAAGAAAGCTTCCAAATGACATTTTTGTGCTAAGTCAGCTATTGCACTCATGTAAATTCGCATCAGAATTTCTCTTATCCTGTCTATCCTCTTCCAAACCTATTCCCAAAATTTGTCCATATAAAGGAATGACCTAGCAGCTGCAGGAAGCACTATTAGAGCAAACAAACAATGGTCTTTGGGATCACAATTGTGTAGTTCTACCTCAGTTACCAGTGAGGGATATTTCACAAATAATTTGATTTTCAAGTCTCTCCCTGTGACAGAGTATTTTGCTATTGCTACAGAATAAAAGACAGAATGGTTTGGGTTGGAAAGGACCTGGAAATCATCTCATTCCAACCCCCTGCCATGGGCAGGGACATTTCCACTATCCCAGGTTGCTCCAAGCCCTGTCCAACCTGCCAGGGCACTGCCAGGGATCCAGGGGCAGCCACAGCTGCTCTGGGCACCCTGTGCCAGGGCCTGCCCACCCTCACAGGGAAGAATTTCTTCCTAATATCTGATCCAGACCTGCTTTCTTTTAGTTTGAAGCTGTTCTCCTTGTCCTGTCGCTTTCATGCCCTTGTCACCAGCTCTCATGGAGCCAAGGTCTCCCCAGAGCCATCCCAGCTCCCTACATCTGCATTCACAGGAGAGGTGTTCCAAGTCCTCTTGGAACAGCTCTCCTGTGAATACAGGTGTAGGGATCATTTTTTAGCCTTCTCTGGACTCACTTGAGCAGGTCCACATCAGAATCCCCGCTCCTCTGCTGCCCCCGTGTTTTTGGAAGGAGCCCAGGACACAGTTGGATGTCTGGGCTGACATCGTGCTGGGGCACATTCAGCTCCTTATCAACCAACACCCCTAAGTATCATAAGTTAATTTTAAGCGTTTTCTCTCCATTTTTAAATTCTATTTTTCATTCTTCTCACCTGCAGTGAAACTTACTCCTTAAGGAAAGAAACACATCACCCATATCCCCACCAAGCCTCCCAGTGAAGTGACACAGGCAGTGACAGGGAAGGAGTTCACAGGGGCTTTACAGAGGACAAGAGTAGGAGGAAAATTAGGAGTTTAATAAATTAATACAGTTTTTACACTGTAAAGCATCAGCCTGTTCCACATTACTGCACCAGATCCTCCACTGTAACAACAGCAGAGAGAGCTCCTGGAAGCTGCTGGGCACTGGGATCCAGCATCTCCTGCAATAACAATTCACTACATCAATGTTCAGTTCCCAAACCCTGCAAATCTGAATGTGAGACAAAGGACTGCAACTCCTGCCAGATATTTCACTATTTTCTTGTTTGTGGAAGAGCTGCAATACTCCCTACTTAACCCTACTACAAACTTCTGAGGGTTAGTCTCTAATTTTGGCACACCAAGAAAAATAGGAGTTATTCACAGGTCTGCTCCTACATCCAAAATATGTGGTCAATAGAATTAGGCTGCCAAAGAGATTCATCATAAGCATGTCAGATCCTCTTTTCTGGGTTCTGTCTTATAACTGGGGCTTTATTTCTGACTGGTGAAAAATATTAATTCCAGGTGGCCTGAAGAAAACTAAATGTCTGGATCAATCAGTGCATCTTGAAAAAGTAGAAAATAATTACTCATGCTCTATTTAATTCCTAGGAAGAAAAAAAATCAGCTTTTTGGCATTTTACAAGTCTGCAATTTGCTGAAGATGCACCAGAACACTACAAATATCACATGAAGTTTCTCCAGTCCTGACCTGACTAAATAAACCTGCATTCTTTGAATTCCCCAGACAGACGTGAAGAAGCCTGCAAATATCCCAGACACGACAGATTTCTAAGTTTGGGGTTGGGGTGACTTTCCTTCTGTTTCTTTTACTGAAAAACCTCACTTTTAGATCAAATCTTTCCTCTTTCACCATTCCCATAAAGTACACAGCCACAGCTACATATTACCTCAGTTTTATGATGCAGCTTTAACTTGAAAATGGGCAGAATAAAAGGAAACTCAAACTTGGGATGGGCACAGCAATTCCAAGAAAGCAATAAAAGTTGTTTTGATCATTGCCTGATGCTGGGTTTGTCCCTGCTTTTTTTATTCCAAAACAAATATGATTTGAGTTTCAGACCTGTTATTGAAGTCCAGAGAAGCTTTACTCTTCCAACTCCTAGAATTCAAAGAGTCTCCATAGGGAAAAAAAAAAAAGATAATTCTCTCCTAATCCCACTCCTGCTTCTATGCCAAAAATAATTTGTGGGTTATGAAAAGCCTTATTTTAAGGAAAGCAGTCACACTGACTGTGACTGACCCTTTACTGAGAATTTACAATTAACTCATGCTGAACATGCACCAAATCACACCCCAAGAATGGAAAGACCAAATTAACTGGAGAAATTCATCCCAAAGCACACAGACTAACCAGGGACAGAATTTCACAACTCCTGTTCCTTCAGATCTTGGTAATAATTTAATTTTGAAGGAAGGTGGCTGTTGCATTCACCACTAAAGTGCTTTCATGCTCCCAGCAAGAGGATCCACAGCAGAGCTGCAGCAATTTTTTGAGTTTGCTCACATGCCCACACTCATCCATGTGAAAAAGCATTTTGACCAATGGGCACAGTTTTCCCCTTATCCTGGTACTCCAGTGAGCTGCTGGAGTATTTATGAAATAAATAATGCAGAGCAGCACTGGTAGAAGGAAAATCCAAAAAGGACCAGAACAACGCATGGCAGGATCCAGGGAGAGCAGCAGAGCTTGCTCCAGCCTCTGGCCAAAGGCTCTCAACAAACACCTGGCTCAGGACACAGCCACATTCCTCAGCCCTGAGGGGCTGAAAGGCAGAGGCAAAATGAAAAAATAATTAAAGTCACCAGTTTACACCAAGTGCCTGCCTGAGGTCTTGTCTAAACTGGAGAAAATGACACCAAAATCTACTTAAAGGCACCTTGCACCTGCAAATGAACAGGGACAAACATTCTGTAGTTGGTATGGGGAAAATACCAAAATCAGAGCAATTTTACCAAAATATAGGTTGAGTAAAACTTCTCTGTCAGTTGCTGGAGGGTTTGATAGATTGCATAGGACACCAATAAAGACAAAGAGTCTCCTCAAAATAAGCAGCTGTCAGAGATGTCCCAACTTGCATTTCTTCAGGACAGTTGCAGCACAGGTACAAGGAAAGGACATTCCCTGACTGGACTATGCCCAGAATGTTCCTAACTCCCTTATATTGCTCTAATTCAGATTCCAGAGCAGATAAGCTCCCAGAGAGTGCTTTTTCCTGAAGATTTGCAGTCTTACAGAGCAAGGAGATGCCCAAGTGCAAGCACATCCCCTGAGCCTGCAGGGGTGGGAAAGGATTGCTCCCTATTGCCCACACCAACATCCATCCTCATCTGACACAGGGAGAAACCCAGCTGGCAGACAAACTGCAAGGGGAGCACTTGCTGCTGATCTGGTCCTCTCTCAACTTTTAGATTTAATCCCTGTATTAAAGCTTGCTAGGCAAATCTAAATTATTTCCAGGTGTCCCTATAAAACAAAATGAAATTCTGCTAGAAATTGCTATATATAAACCAAAGCAAGTTAATTCGGCATTCCAGAGGGGGCAAAAAACACAGAAAATAAAACAAAACCCAGCAAATTAGAGTGCAAAAAGCAGTCAGCAGGCACTCCAGCTTAAAGGTTTGATTAACACAAATAAGCAACATCTAAATAAACAACACCTAAAGTTTTAGAGGAAGCAGGAGAAAAGCCATAAAACTACAAAAGTGCCATGCCTGCAAAATAAAAGTGGGGTTTGAGTAGATCAGAGTGGTGATAGAGACTGAATTAATGAGCTCTGAACTTTCTCTGCTGGTGAATTACTCCCTCCTAAATGATTTCACAGAGGGTTTCAAAGAGATGGCACCAAACCTCAGCATTGAAATATGTGCATGATGGACACAGTGTGCAGTATGTACCCACACACCCCCAAAAGACAACTCTGCATCCATAACCAGCACAATTAATTCAAGTAAACAAAAGCAATGAATGAATGTAGTGTTCTGAGGGCTCCTGGGAATTACTGTCTCTCCTAAAAAATTAAACCATCATAAGTATTCCTATGCTTCTTGCACCAGTTAATTTCACAAGTATGTCTAAAAAGCTACTTGTAAAGATTAAATGAGACACTAAAAAATAATAGCATCTATTAAGATGCTTTCCTACTTAATTTCAGAGCACTTATTTACCTGGAAAAAAAAAAACCATCTCTGCCAAAACAAATAAAACAAGCAGCAAAAAATAAAAGGATAAAAGGAACCCTCACAAGCATGCACTAACCCGAGGACAAGAAGTTTTCCAGCTCACTTGTGAGAAAAGGCAGGTTTTGCCCATTCCTGTGAGAAGAGGCAGGGTTTGCCCATTCCTGGGAGAAAAGGCAGGTTTTTGCCCATTCCTGTGAGAAGAGGCAGGTTTTTGCCCATTCCTGGGAGAAAAGGCAGGGTTTTGCCCATTCCTGGGAGAAAAGGCAGGTTTTGCCCATTCCTGTGAGAAGAGGCAGGTTTTGCCCATTCCTGGGAGAAAAGGCAGGTTTTTGCCCATTCCTGGGAGAAAAGGCAGGGTTTGCCCATTCCTGCGCCCTGGCAGCAGCTTACCTGTGATGAGCACGGCTCTGTCCCCCACGGGCAGCAGGTCCCCGTCCCCCAGGCACACGGAGCAGAGCAGGCACATGGCCACAAACACCCCCAGCCCCTGGGCAGCCCCCAGCGTGGCCACGCACAGCAAGGCAGGCAGGAGGCTGCAGAGCAGCACCTTGGCTTTGTGCAGGGGGCTCCTGTGGGCCATGGTGACCCCAAAAAGCCTGGTGGCACCTGCCCAGAGCCAGCCAAGGGGGCTGCTGGCTGCAGCATCCATCAGCAGGGGGGAGCAGGCAGCACTCAGCCCACCGTGCCCGGGTGGAAGCAGGTATTGCTAAATGCAGTGTGTGTTATATAGGAGCAGGGGGTGGGGCAGAGAAAGGGGACTCTGTTTAAAGCTTTGACATAATCTCACTTACCCTTGGCATCAGCAAGGAGCAGGAGCCTTCCTTTCCTTACCTTTCATTCTTCCTGCCTGACAGCTCCACCTTCTGAACAATGTGCTGCCTGGATAATGATTGACAGCCCCAGGAATGGACATGATGTAGCAGGCACTGGCTCCAGGAAAAGATTAACTGCTTTTTTTTTATATATCTTTAAAGTACACTTTCCTCGACAGTGAGAAAAGCAGCAGTTTCTTTTATGAGGAATAGTTGGGCTTTCCAGCTTAAAAAACTTAGGGTGTAGTTTCAGTGGAACTGGTTTATGATGGGCAGTGACAAAAATGAGTCAGGCCAGGGTTATTTAATCTCTGGAACACAAACTGTCTGGGGCTTTATCATTTATGGGTAACCCTCCTCTTTCAACAAAAAGCCCCAAATTACCTTCTCTGCTTTAGTGTCCACCTTTGCCTATTTACCTACTCCACATTCAGTAAGTACCCACAATAAATTGACATTCAGGGGGTGCTGGGAGCAGATGATTGCTGGTTTGCATGAGGGGCACTTTGTTAGGTGAACAAAGGTGGCACACCTGAGATTGAGTCTTCAGCTAATCTCCAGTGATGACACTCACCTTGGTTTTGGCTGCAATCACTGGCTTGATAGCCACAGCAGTTTGTGTGTGGGGGGGGAAGCAATCAATTAAATATATTAAAGAGATTTAATACCTACTGTGCTGTGTTCTGGAAGTTATTTAAACAATAAATAAAAAATTAAAAGCCAGCCAGCCAAAGGGATTAAGATACAAATTAGCCATGCATATTTAACCCTGTTTAAAAATCCCTGGTGAGTGATTCGGGAGACAAGCCTTCCACAGCCCCAGCTAACATGATGTAGCTGGTTTGCTAAGACAATGTGGTGCTGCTCTATCTGATTTCAGACACGAGAAATGGAAGCGCCTGGTGCAAACCTGACATGAAACAGAGCACATTCCCATTCCATTATGCCTTTGGGGCTTTAAGGGATTACAGATCTCTTGAATATACACTTTTCCAGACAGTGAAAATGTTTACATAGCTCTGCAGGTAGTTTACACCAGAGATTACACCAATGTCTTAAAGCAACATCACCCTGAAGGTCTGCCCATCATTCATTACTCTTGTGGACACTCACCCACCCATCCTCCCACCAGTGCACAAAAGGAAAAATATTTTTCTTTTCTCTTTGCCATTTACTTCTGCTTTTATTAGCATGTTGCTCTTGAGGTCAGCTATACCTTGCTGTCCATTAAGGAATCTTCTTAAATATTTTCCTGGAGAATTTTGCTCTCTCCCTTATTGGTCTTTGTCACACTTAGATGACCACAAATGTGCTGGTATTTAGAGCATGAGCTCTCACACTACAGAGAGCTGGAGCTTTTGCATGGTATGAGGAGGGCCAGAAGTGATCACCCCAGCCTGATGTTTGCCCTGGCTCCTCTCAGCCTGTGGGGATGAGGCAGAGCTGGGCAAGGGGTGGCCACCATGGCTGGGGGCTGCAGAGCAAGCTCCGTGAGATTCCCCCTCTGCTCCAGTCCCACTGAAATGTGCTTTGTGCTCATGCACAGCCCCTCCCTCAGACCCAGCTGGCAGGGTGGGGAATATTTGGAAAGCTGAGGGTGCCACATGCATTCCTTATACACCCACCCACTGTGGTGCAGGCACACGGCACCTGTCTGCACCCACACCCCTGCAGAACAGCTGTGGGGACTGATTCTGCCTGAACCAATGCTCACTTTATCACTTTGAAATAAAATACAACTACTGAAGCATCCTTTAATGAGAAGGTGACCATGTGTTCACCCAGGTGGGTGAGTAAAATTCCATGTAAATGTGTAGATGATACACACCAAAAAGGAGGTTCTGATCTAAAAATGCTAGCATGGAGTACCCACTTCACAGTGCCTCTGCACTTCCCTGGCACCCGCAATGACAGATTGCTGCTTGAGGATTTTTCAGCACAATTCTGCCACAAGGTAACTTCTATCATCCTGTGCCAACTACTCATCTTGAAAAACACCCACTTTTCTCTTTACACTTTTGAGATGTCTCCAGCTCTAAAAGCTGTACAGTTACCCAGGATTGCCATTGAGTTTACATTATTTGCTATTTCTCTCTGCCATGCTTACTCATGCTGTGAATATACACCATTATCTCACCTTCTCCTTATAGTTTCCTGGAAAAAGGAAGGCTCCTCCAAACTGTCAGGATTTTGCATCACCATGACATCTGTGTTCCAACAAGAATGGATTAAGTTAATTGATGTGGGGCTAAGCTCACCCTACCTTGCCAGGACAGTTCTTTCTTCCAGGAGAAGAGGGATGGCTTTTCAGAGCCACCTCACAATAACTCAGTGCCCTGTCCTTCTATTCCATGGCAAGTACAGAGTCTGCACTGAATGTGGACCCTGATTCCAGAGTCAGCCCATTCCAGTGGCAAAAGCAACAGAGAAATGATCCTGAGCATCCTCCTGGCAGCTGGGCCATTGCTGGCCCTCACTGATGTTCCTGATGTTTCTCCTGGGGATTTTGCAGATCTCACATGTGCACTACCACCTGAATCTCTTCATGATACGTGGTGACTCTGCACAGTCAATATTCAATGGCAAAAGAAGAGGGCTCTCCTGGAGAACAATGACCCCATGGTAATCAGCAACACAAACAGCCAGTCTCTAAAAATTCAGCTTGTCTTGCTGCAAATCCTACACTCACAGCACCTTTCACCTGCTGCAGTGTCCCTGTCCCCAGGACACAGCAAGGACACCCCTCCACTGTGTGGGACCTTCATCACAGACATCAAATTGTTGGCTCCACACTCCCATTCTGGAGCAAAATCACTTCTTCACAGACATTCTCTTACTTCCTCCCCACTTCTTGAAGCTTTTGTCCTCTCATACTGTTTTTCAGCATGATGGATGCAGCCTGTGCTTTGGATTGCTTTCTTAACACAAAAAAAAGGGCAGAAGAAAGGTTCAGGTTCCCCAGTTCCTTTGAAATGTGGTGAAGCTGAGCCTGGTCACAACTTCTTTGAAATACACCACCAAGCTCTTTCTTGGTTTTTCCTTGGTAATGAGATCTCTTTTGTCATTGCTTTTCATGGCTCCCTTTGGAGTTCAGTGATTTTCCTGATGTTTATAATTTTTTCAAGCCTCTCTGACTTTCCAGCATAGTAGAAGTTTCCAATTCTACCACGAGGTTTTCAGGCATGTCTCTGTTACCTCATCCTGCATTGTTTTTCAATTCTTTGGCACTTTTCCCATGGGCTTTCTTTGCACTTTCCAGTAATTTACTAGTCAGTATTTTTTCCTTTCAGCACTTTCCTTCAGCCAGAAGTGCCATGTGTCACATCCAATAGCTGCTGTCCCAACTGGATACAAGTGATATCCTTCTGTCCCAAGTGGAACATCAATTTCACTGTCTAGAAGCATGAAGCACTTTTTCTACGCTTCCAATTTCTGTTTCAGCTTTCTCTGCTGGTCACAGATCTGTTTTTCATTTCAGGTCATAATTTCCCACAGAACTCTTCAATTTACTGTTTTGTTTTGCCTGCTGATTCAGGCTTTTTCAGCTGTGGCTCCTGAGAGTTCCTGCTCCCTGTGCTTCTTGTTCTTTTGTGGCTTGGGTCAGGGCTCTGTGTTTCAGGTTCTGTAGGGAGGTTCTGCCCTACGAGGTTTTTCCTGGAAAATCATTTCAGCATAAAACAGGTCGGAATCTGTTTCAACAAATGAGTCATTAAGCAAGACAGAAACAGTATTCTAGTGATTAAGGACATATAGAACCTGTAGGGAAAAAAAATTACTTACTTTTATTGCTGCAGCTTCTGAGAGAACGTAAACACCGTCATACATTTGGACTTAATGGCTACATGAACATTTGTCAAGATGTCACTTGTGGATGCAGAAAGTGTTGAACTTGCTTAAACAAAATTCATTTGGGCAAACAGATTTTCCTCTTATAAATTCTGCAGAGCTCCTGTACAAAGGTCAAGATAATCCTCTTCCAGCCTGTTCTCTCTTCATGCACTCTAGTTGAAGCACGAGAATTGTCCCAGTAAAGACAACAAAACCATTACTCTGCCTAAAGCTAGAAATGCAGCCAAGTATCTTTGTGAATTAAGGTCTCTGAACTCACAGGCATAAACTGAATTAAAGCAAAAAAGGATTATGTACAAGTGAAAATGAAGCTGTGCAACCTCTCCTTTGTCATCAAACTGTTTGTGTAATAGACCTTTAGGGAAAATAATTCCTGTCAAATAAAGTGTATACTTATTAAAGAAAAGTAAGAAATATCTTTTACCTCTAAGCTGGTGGAGATTTTGTTTTTAGAAATATAATAATGGTAAATATTGTAAATTCAGAGATAGACAATAGATCCTGAAGATCATCTCTTGGCAGTGAACAAAAAACTGTAGCACATCATTCCTCAAATTCAATACCAGCAAAAGACAATAATAATAACAACAGCAACAATAACAACAATTTCCTCAGCTAAATCTCCCATTATTTTCTCAAATGGAAAAAAGAACCTCAGAGTGAAGAATGTCTGTACTGATGGCAAATTTGGACCTGTAAATTAAGCCAAGGGCTGTAAGTTCTGCCTCAGCCTTTACAAGAACTCCAATCACCCTTTGTTAATTTCCTGCAATAGACAAAACATCAGAGAAATCATTAAAATTATGAGCACTCCTTCGTATGTGCAAGGGAGGTTTTCCCCCTGAACTCTCCAGACATCCATGTATCTCTGGGCTTTCAGGAAGAGCTAAAAGGGGATTGCACTCTTTCCAAAATAAGTCATTTTTATCAACCCAACTGTGATTATTTTCCAAGAAGATAGAATCAGAAAACCTAAAGGCAATTAGGC